AAACTGTTTTTGCAAATTAGTCATTAGGAGATTTGCAGTCTTTTTTATTACATAATAAGCTGTAATGAACTGAGAAACATTTATGCATGGTTTTTCAATCTACTTCTCAGTTAAGTTTGGAGAACTACATTTTTCCAAGTAGTGTTACCTTTAGCACTGTCTCAGACTTTTTTTTGTTGTTTTGCTAAGTGTTTTGTTGGGTTTACCCAGGCTCTACCCCCAAACACAAACAAGGGAATTACTATGCTAATTTTTTGTTAAGCGGACAAAATCTAAGCACACCATGTTCTCTGCTGATGCCTTTCTGTTGAGTTTGTAAATGTCTGTGTGTTGGGAGGTTTGAAGGATCACTGCTGAGGCACCTTCTATCTCCTGGTTACTGTTCTCAATTTCTTCAATCTCTGAATATAGTTGAGCTTTTGTGATTTGTTGCTTTTTAAAAAAAAATTAGTAACATTTGTTTATTTTCATTCACTTGTTTGTGTGTGTGTGTGCGCATGCACACACTATAGCACACATGAGGTCAGAGGACTACTTCCTAGAGTCAGTCTGCTCCTTTCATCATGTGAGATCAGGGGATCAATCTCAGGTCCTCAGGCTTGGAGGCAAGTGCCTTTACCTTTTAGGGGTTTGCTTTCTTGCATTGTTTTTCAAGTGAATAATATATCTTTATACTTGTAATTATTTTATAGTTGATGAAATGCTCAAAAATCAGAAAAAGTACTGTGGTATGCTTAATTGTATGTGTGTGTGTTTATATATATATGTATGTATGTATATATATATATATATATTGTTTTGTTTTATTTTTGTTTTGTCTTTTTTGTGATGAACTTCTGTTATTTGTAGGAGGAATACTATTCTTACTACTAAGAGTTCCACTTGCCTCTGCCCCCTGAGTTCAGGGATTAAAAGTGTGTGCTACCAGGTCCAGCGATTGCTGCTTCTTACTGTTTTCTAAATGATTTTAGTTGTTCTCTTGGTAAAATTCTCATTCTGTTCTTCATAATCCCTGCGCTTTTTTTTTTTTTTAACCTTGAAACTTTTATTGGGGGTTAGGGATATAGCTCAGTAATTAAGAACATTTGCTGCTCTTGCATAGAACCCAAGTTTGGTTTCCAGCATCCACATGGAAACTAACAACCCCCTGATAACTCTAGTTCCAGAGGATCTGACACCCTGGGAATCAGGCACAGATATGTTGGCAAAGCACTCATACACATAAAAACCATTTGTGTGTGTGTGTGTGTGTGTGTGTGTGTGTGTGTGTGCATGTATGCCTACGTGCGCACACATATAGACCATGTGAAGGTCCGTGGACACATGTGAAGGTCACAGGACAGCTGGACAACTTGGAGGAGTCAGTTCTCTCCTTCTACTGTGTTGGTCCTGGAGTTTGAACTGGGATTGTCAGGCTTGGCATGGACATTGTTTTGGCTTTTTTTTCTTTTGTTATTATTTTTATTTTATGTGTGTGAGTGTATTGCCTGCATGTGTATAAGTGCACCCATGTCGTGCACTGCCTGAGGAGATCAGAAGAAGGCATCAGATCCCCTGGAACTGGAGTTACAGATGGTTGTTAACTACCATGTGTGTGCTGGGAATTGAACCTGGGTCCTCTGCAAGAACAGTCAGTGCTTTTAATCACTGAGCCATCTTTCCAGTCCTTATTTTGACTTTTTTGAGACAGGGTCTCACACTATAGCCCTACTGGTCTTGAACTTGTGGTAATTCTCCTGCCTCAGCCTACCAGTGCTGAGATGATAGGCCTGAGGCACCCCACCTGGCTTAGGTTTTTGTTGTTGTTGTTTTTTTCTAGTCTCAAGTAGCCTAGTCTTGCCTTGAGCTGGCTGTGTATCAGAAGTTGACTTTGAACTTCTGATCTTCCTGCTTCTACCTCTTGTGTGCTGGTACTACAAAGTATATGTAACCACATTCGGTTATACACTAATGAGGATCAGACCCAGCACTTTGTGCTATAACTAATGGAGGAAAAGGTCCCAATAAGCAGAGCTTGGGAATTTGGGGGGAGGGTAGTTGGAAGAGATGAGATTAAAACTTCCTGAGGTATTGATAATCTAGTTCTCATAAAGTATTTCCCAAATTGGAATATAACAATCAAGCTGCTGTGCTTAGTTGTATCTAATGGAATTAGGGAAAGCTTTGTTAGAAATTGGAGTGATGGGGGCTGGAGAGATGGATCTGATGCCCATCTCGGGCATTGCATGACATGAGTGCACTTACATAATGCAGGCCCAACACTCACACACATAAAATAATAATTAAAAGAAGTAAAAAGAAATTGGAATGTTGCCAATTTCTACACTTGCTTCAGCATGTTTTTCTTCCTTTCTTTTTACACCTTTTCCTGTGTATTCCCATTTTCTTAATATAATCATATTTTAAAAATCCTTATTTGTTTTTTCAGAATTATGACTATACAAATATTTGCTAAGTCAGCACTACAGTTTGTTGTGAAACTTAATTTTTCCTGGCTTGAGTTAATGAATTACCTCACTTTTTTCTAATTTTCTTAGAAATTAAGTCTAAATTTCACACATCTTCTAGTATCTTTATAAAAATCTCTCTCAAATAATGTTCCATACTTTGAAAGCTATAGGATAATTTTTTCCCCGTTAAAATACCTATCTTGGAGCTGGGTGTGGTGGCGCATGCCTTTAATCCCAGCACTTGGGAAGCAGAGGCATGAGGATCTCTGTGAGTTCTAGTCCAGCCTGGTCTCCCTATCAGGTTCTAGGCCAGCTGGGAGATCCTTTCTCAAAAGGACTAAAGAAAACAAAACAAAAAGCACATGTCTTGACCCCTCTTGCCTTACCTGTACTTGCTGCCTCCTGGATGCTGCCTCATCCTCTTGTGGCTTTCTTTCATTACCACTTGGGGAGTTGCTTAATTTTCCTCCTATATTGGACTTCTCCATCCCCCCCCCCCCTTCCCTTTTTTTTTTTTTTGGAGTCTTATGGCCTTGAGCTCTCTGTGCAATCAAAAAAGTGACCTTAAACTCTTATCCTGTCTCCTCTTCCTGTATGTTGACATTACTGGAATTCACCAGGCTTGGGTGTTTTTTTTTTTTTTTTGGTGGTGGTTTGTTTTTGAGACTTAGGCTTACCTGGGCTTCCTAGGAATGGTATTACATACCCAGCCTTTGGTTCCCTTCTTAACTAGATTCTGTGTGTCATTTTTTTTAGTGTCCTCCCTGATTTTGATAGGATACTGTATTAGTCAGGGTTGTCTAAAGAAGTCCAACAGTGGCTGCACCACACTGGAGAGGCTAAGAACCCAGTAGTTGCTAAGCCACAAGGCTGGATGTCTCAGTAGTCCCAATCTGGCAATGAAAGTCTGACAGATTCTGGGCGATCTGCTACTCTTCAGTCTGCATTGGAATCTGAAGAAATTGGTCACAGCAGCCAGACAAATTCACCAATGAGAGAGAAGGCAAGGGGCAAAAAAAGCCAGAGCTCCCTTCTGCCATGGCTGCCAGCAGAAGGCAACGCCCACATTTAGGGTGGGTCTTCCAGCTTCAGATGATCCAATCAGGGTCTCTCTCATTTCAGTTAATTTCAGATCCAGTCAAGTTGACACCCAGGACTAGCCATCACAGATACATATTCTCCCATTAGTTCCTGAGAAAGGGCACACACATGTTAAATTTTTGCAGGCTCTGCTTCAATAACAATAGCAGAATTCTGTCATTACCATTGACTATCTGGATAGGCATATGAATTGAACATTACAAGATAAAATCTTTTTTTTTTGGAGACAGGGTCTCCCTGTAGCCCCAGCTGGCCTGGAGCTGGTTATGTAGACCAGGCTGGCCTTGAACTCACAGAAATCTGCCTGCCTCTGCCTCCTGAGTGCTGGGATTAAAGGTGTGCACACCTGGCTTCATTTGTTTTTAAACTTCATATTTGAAAACAGAAACTACATGTCTGTGAGCCAAAATTGAAAAGACACAAGTGCTGCTAATGATGAATGAATCATGTCAGTGGCACAGGGGAATTTATTTACTTGTGTGTGTGTTGTGTATGCACATGTGTATGCATGTGCCTAGAGGCTAGAGGAGGTATGTGTATGCAAATACCTTTTGTATGCACGTGTATGTGAACATGTCTAGAGGTTAGAGGTGTTTGTGTATGTGTTACATATGCACATGTATGTTTGTACATGTCTAGAGGCTAGAGGAGGTGCCCTATTTTATCATTCACTGCCCTATTCCCTTGAGACAGGGCCTCAATGAAACTGGAGCTAGGCAGTCAACCAGCAGACGCCAGCGATCTTCCTATCTCTGTCCCCCTTGCCCCCCAGAGCTTGGGTTACAGGCGTTTATCACATCCACCTGTTTTGTTTTGAATGTGGGTTCTTGGGGTTTGAATTTTGGTCTTCATTCTTGCACAAGTGATCTTACCTGCTGAGCCATTTCTCAGCTCCATGGGAGGTTTTGGAGAGGAATGGTAGAATTATTCTATGTTATGCAATTTTTGTTAGTTTTTTTTTGTTGTTTTGAGACAGTGTCACCATGTAGCCCAGGTTGGCCTTAAGCTCGCAGTTCTCTTGCCTCTGCCTTCTGAGTGCTGGGATTACAGCACTTAGGGCTGTAGGGACTTATGGGTCCTTACCATATAATGGTGGCTGTACTAGGATCTATTTGTGTAAAAATCTGTAGACAGGTATAAGAAAAGATAGAGTTCAATATCTATGTGTAATAGTTTCAAAAATTTGAGTCCCTAAAGGCGTACAGCAAGAAGAAGACTCCTCTCTTGTGTGACTATTTCAGCTTTCCTTTCCCCCAAGAAACCACTGTTAGCAGTTCTGTATGTTATTTTTCTACTGAGTTTCAAAACCTTCAGGAGTAAAATTAGGCAAAAGAAAGAAAAAGCAAGTGTACTGAAGCATCTTGGAGTGCTTAGATTGCTTTTAGAACACAACAACATTCATCATTAGTCAAACCTGGTACTAACTTATTAAAATTATTTCTCCTACAGTTGGCAAACATGAATTGACCGGGCATAAAGTTGCTGTGAAAATACTCAATCGGCAGAAGATTCGAAGTCTTGACGTGGTTGGAAAAATCCGCAGAGAAATTCAGAACCTCAAGCTTTTCAGGCATCCTCATATAATTAAACTGTAAGCTCAATCTGTATTAATTATGGTCTAGTCATCTGATCACCCCTTCTGTTAACCTACCTAACCTGGCAAACCAGAAAGAGGATTGGCATTTTGTCCTGCTTCCTGAGGGTTTTGAAGTTTCTTCCTGCTTATGTATTTATCTAACCCATCCACCGTCAGTTCCGCCTCTTCATGCCCAGCTGTGTTTATATTACTGTTATTCTTGTTCTTTCCTGTTTTCTGGACAGATGCCCTTCTGACAGATGATGTTCAGTGCTTCTGTTGCTATAATATAGAACCAGCTATTGGTTTGCTAGTAAAAATGCTCTGTAGCTGGTTGAGGGGACTTTTGTTTGATCCTCCGTACCACAAAGAAGAAAAGAAAAGAAAATTCTTAACCTACAAATTTCAGATTTCCAGTAATTAGGCTCACAAGAGACAACGCACTAGAAATTATTTTCCTCTGTACTGCTTACATCTGATCGTACAAATAACAGGAATCTGTTACTTCAAAAGAACTGTAATCTTGGGTGGGAGAGATGCCTCAGTGGTCAAGAGCACTGGCAGCTCTTGCAGAGGACCATGGTTTGAGTCCCAGTACCCACACTGTGGCTACCAACTGTCTGTTCCAGGGGATTCGACACCCTCTTCTGGCCTCTCTGGGTATTGCACCTCATAGATGCACATATACATGCAGGCAAAGTGCTCAAACATATGAAAAGTAAAACAACAAAAGAACAGTAATCTTAACTGCTGCTTGTGGTTACCACTGTAAGGTTGCAGGTAACTCATTGCTTAGCTCCTGCTTTATCATATAGGTTATAATTTAAAGTTGCTTGGACTTTTCTGTTGAACTGGCTGGCTCAAAATTTGTTTTGCTTTTAGTTCTCATTTATTAAAGTGTTTTGAAATATCATTTATGCTGATGGCCCCTAAATGTACATTTTTTTTTGCTTTGAAACCCCTTTACTGAACTCTGGACTCTGTGTCTACTGCTTACTTTACATCTCCATTTGGATGTACATGAGACATTTCAAACTACCTGATCAAGTCTGATCTCTTTATTACCCCTCAAATCTGTTCTCCGTACATTCCTCACCATTGCAATTAATAACCAGTTACCCAGGAAAAGCATAGGAGGCATCATTAGCAGCCTGTCTCTCTCACTTCCCACCGTCCATTCCATCTCTTCCTTCAGAATGTATTTCTGATCTGTTTCTCTGTCCTTTACCACCATCACATTGGTCTGAACCACCCTCTCCTGTCATGGACTTCTGAAGTAGCTCAGCCTCTCCTGCTAGTATGTAGCCAGTTCTTCACGCTGCTGCCACTCACCCATTTAATAATGAAGATCACATGACTCTAATCAAAACATCCCATAGCTTTTCATCTTCCCCTAAGTAAAAGCCAAAGTCTCTTAATGGCTTGTGAAGTTGTACATCTTTTGGCCTTCAATGACTTTGACTTCACATCTTGTTTCTCTCCCAGCCTGTTCTGCTCTTGCCTTACTGTGAGCATGGCAAGCAGACTTCCCCCTGGGACTTTGTCCTGGCTGTTCCTCTGCCTGGTTCACCTTCCTCCTGGATAATATAATTTGTTCTCTTACTTCCTTTGGGTTCTGCTCAAATGTTACTTTTTGGAGGCCTTCCCTGAGTACTCTGCATAGAAGAGAGTTTGCTTTCTTTTTCTTCATTGCATGTTCTGCCCTAAAAAAATGCTTATTTATTGCCCTGGCACCTGAAACAAGAACACCACAAAGACAGGAAATCTGCTTTATTCCCCATAGTTTTCCTAGCTCCTAGCACAGGACCTGGTATATTATAGGTAACCTCGTAAATATTTATTGAATGAATGAATACACATGTTTTAATATTAGTAGATAATGTTTTCTCTCACCAGGTACCAGGTCATCAGTACACCATCTGATATTTTCATGGTGATGGAATATGTCTCAGGAGGAGAGCTATTTGATTATATCTGTAAAAATGGAAGGGTAAGCAGTTCTGATTTAATCCTGTACATATTTCGTAACTCCCCTTTGCCCCTTATTTGCATCAAAATGTCAAAAAGCAATTTTAAGAGGTCTGTGTAGTAACTACTTCCCTTAGTCATATATTTGTTTAGAATAATAAGCTGCTTAGACATAGAAAGGAGCTTCAAGATGATCCCCTGAGCCTGTTCATACAGATTTATATTATATTTTAGGGTATATAAATACTTTAATGTTTTTTTTTTTTTTGTTTTTTTTGAGACAGGGTCTCCCTGTAGCCCCAGCTGATCTGGAACTCGCTTTGTAGACCAGGCTGGCCTCAATCTCTCAGAGATCCCCTGCCTCTGCCTCCCGAGTGCTGGGACGAAAGGCTTATGCCACCACACAGGCAATAAATACTTTAAAAATATATTGTGAAGTATATAATGACTCCTTACAAAATCTATTAAATACTTAAAGATCTAGGCTTTGTTGGTTAACCCTGGTCACATTTAAATTTCATTCACTTTTTTGGTTTCCAAAGTCTGATGTACCTGGAATAGTAAGAAGAGGTTTTGTAAAGGAGTTAGGAATTAGAGAATTTAGTTCTGGAAGAAAGCAGATAGCAAACTGAACATTGTCCCCTGCCCATGCTTATTTTAGGGTGGTTTGCTTTGCAGAAACCTCTCTGGAAGAGCGCCCAGCATAGAGCTGAGCCCCCTGCCCCTTCAGCTGCTTGTGTTATTCATGCCTTCCTTTTGTATAGAATAGCTGTTTGGTCAAATCAAGCCTCTTAACCAAGTTAATCTTGACTTGTTTTTGAATGAGGTTAATTTCTGTTTGGAGTACCCTCTTCTCATCCTCCAAGTCCCCCTGCTCCCACCTCCTAAAAGAATTCAACCTAAATTCATTCATTTCCTTCTTGCTGATCTCTTTTCTCCTGGTTTTCATTTCTAGTCATTTTGTTCTTTGTGGGAGGATCTTCAGTTTTACCCTTAAATTCAAGCTAAAATTCCAGCTGTCATATTTCAGATATATGTCCTGTTTTCTGAAATTTTCTTTAAGCAGTCTGCTCTTTTGGCTTTGCAGATGTAACCTTATCTGGCTGAGAATGACAGTTTTCACGTTGTCTTTTGGTTCCTGCCCCGTTCTCCTCCTCCTGTGCTTTCTGCTCCCCATTTTTTTTTCTGTTGATTTATTTGCCTTTGTCTTTTGTGCATGGCTCTTCCTCAGGTCTAGTGATTCTTGGTTGTCCACTTACATTTCAGAATGAAATACCAAATGTCAAGCTCATGTATGGGTGAGATTTGTTGATTGGTGGCTCTTCCCATAGGTTGAATTGTTGGAGACCTGTCCATTTCCTTGGGGTAAACTATTTATCAAGAATATTGTCCCTGCGCCCCCCCCCCCCATTTGATATTGTAGAAGAAAACTCCCTATTTTCTTGAAGGTAGTAGTTTAGCTGTAGGACTTGAGTTGGAAAGTGGTACAAGCCTCTTCAGTTAGTATGTTGATTGCCACCTAATCTGTTTCCCTTACAATGCTTCCTTCCTTCCTGCCATGGTATCCTTAGAACAGGTCTGCTTCTGCCTTGCTAGAATAAACAATAGGTCTTACTCCCTGGTGGGGTGAGTTTAAAAGCTTCTCACCTGGACTAGGTGTGTTGTTTTCAGCCCACCTCTCACTCAGCCTCCAGAAAGTCCCAATGCCTCCTGTTTCTCAGCCCTTGCAAAGTTCCATGTGCAGATGAGTTTATTTCTTACTCTAGACTTAGGTTTCCCTTTTCTCTTCTTGCTAAGTCTTTATCCCCTGTCCGGATGGGAACTAACTCCTCTTGATGGTTGCTGTGTCTTCCTTTGTTTTGTTTTCATTTGCTTTGTTTATTGTCAATGTCATTTTTGTGATATTCTAAGGAGTAGTTGCAAAAGATTCAGTCTGTGATGCTTTTTAACTGGAAATTACTTTCATTTTAAAAATCATCTTTTGTAGATATCTCTACCATTCTTTGTACTATATTTTTGTAAATATACTACTTTTCTTTTTCATAGTCTTCCTAGTTATTTTGCTTCTTATATATTTTGTTAGTCAATTAATTTTCTTTTCATATTTTGAAGAATTTTTTTTCTATAAGCCTCTGCTTGAACGATTAGATTGCTAAAATTTTTTTTTTCTTGAGATCTTATAACTCTTATCTTATAACCCTTCAATAGTAGTTTTGATTTTGCTATCAAAAGAAGTTACTGGTTTATCTTTTCTTCCAGATTATCCATGCCATTGAAGGTATGGAATTTTCGTTTTGGAATAATTCATGACTTGTTAGAGAATAACATATGAGAGTTCCTTGCTGAGAGGATTAGTAGCTTATTTAATAAATGTGATGTCTTGGGATCGGGCATATGATAGGCCAGTCATGGTTATCACTTGTGTTGAGAAAACATTATAAAATGAGAAACTAGAGAGAGGGAGGTTTCTAATGATTATTTTTCAAAAGGTAGTTGTAGTGTAAGATTTTTTTTTTTTTTTCAGTAAACACCCCAAGGTAAATGTGTTAAAAATTTTCTTATGTTAAAGGTAAAACATCTTGGGGCTGAAGAGATGACTCAGTATTTAAGAATGTTTACTGTTCTTCCAAGGACTGGAATTTAGTTCCCAGTACCCATATGGGATGGCTCAGGCCTGTAATTCCAGCTCCAGGGTATCGATATGATGCCCTCTCTGGCCTCTGCAGGCACTTGCATGTACACGCATATAGATACATACACACAAATTAAAATATATAAAAAATTAAAACATCTTGTATTTCGGAACATACAATGTAGTTTTTTAGTAATTCATTGATAGTGCTTAAATGTAACTTCTGTGTAGTCTAAAATAGTATCCCCATCTCAACATTACTGTGTTGTTTTTCTTTTCTCTTTTAAAATGAATTAAATTTGTTCTTTGATTCATACATGTATTCTAGTACATTCTCTTTACTTTCACCCCCACCTTTCTGCCCCCCTCCCACTTAGCCACCTCCCTCTTCCCTGCAGGAAGGGTTCCAACGTTCATGCTTTTATGTTTTGTTTTGTGATCCACCCACTCCTTTGAGCCAGCACCATTGGTTTGTTTGACCCTGGGTATGGAGCTACCTATTGGAGCGCTTTCTGTATTCTTACTCATCATCTTTTCCAGAGCATTGTCACTCTGATGTTTTATTTGTTTATTGCCTTATTTTGTCAACTCAGGGACTTTGTTTGATTCACTGCTGTATCATGAATGTCTAAACTGTGTAGCACATCAAAGGTGTTCAATAACTACTTATTAAAAGAATGAAGGGTAAACATCACTAACTTACAGTAGAAAGCATGCCTGATGTCAGGCAGAAATCAAAACTGCTGGAAATAGTTTGTGAGCTGTAAAGGAAAATGTGGTCCTGTGCAGATGATAGGGTCAGGAAGCTGAGCTGCTGACTCAGGTCCCTTCAACTCTTACTGTTTCTGTTTTGTGCTGTGTGTATCTCCTCCCCATTTCAAGAGCGTCTCATGGATGAAGTTCATTTGGAAGGTTTCATGCATTTGATGGTTTACACGTCGGAGAATTATAAGTAGGAAGAGGAAGTCTTCCTCTGAAGGGCACTCCTTTAAGATACTTTTCTACTTTCTCTAGCTGGATGAAAAAGAAAGTCGACGTCTGTTCCAACAGATCCTTTCTGGTGTGGATTATTGTCACAGGCATATGGTAGTCCACAGAGATTTGAAACCTGAAAATGTCCTGCTTGATGCACACATGAATGCAAAGATAGCTGATTTTGGTAAGAACATTTTTACAGTTTCATCTGTTATGTTTACTGAATATAAGTAGCTTTTTCATAAAGCATTTGTATGGGGTCTGCTGAGGATACCATTATAAGGACAACAGCTAAGGGACTCTCTTTTCT